ACAGCGTTACCTGTGACACAGTGCCCCGTCTCACAGGTGCGCGTGTCGCTGTACAAGTCGCAGACACAGAACTTGCTCAGGCGCTGTACAACCTTGTCGCCGCCTTTCGAGAAGCAGAACACGGCGTTGTCGTAGTGCAGCACCTCCGATGTCGCCTCCACGCCCTTGTTGCTCGTCAGGTCCAGTTGTGACTGGAAGATTGTGTGTGTGTGTGTGTGTGTGTGTGATGTGTGTGTGTGTGTGTGCAAGTACACGTGAGTGTACATGGTGATGCCACCTTGAAGCATGCGCAACACGCCTCCTCCCTTCCCCTTTATTTGATCGGCTGTCCAATCCAACGTCGTTGCACACCTCGTAGATGGGATCGCCGGCGCAGTTGCTGTTGTTCCACGTCATGTACATGAACGACCGCATATCGCCGTACTTGTTGTCAAACAGCACAGAGTGGGCTGGAGAAGGACCAATCGATCGATCGCAAACAAACAGAGGTGGTGTGAGTCGCGTGCACAAGGACAGCACGGGACCACCAAGCCCAGATACACACACACACAACACAACACAACACAACGCACACACACACACACACACAAGTACACACACACACACACATCAACAAACACACACATCAACACACACACACACACACAAGTACACACACACACACACACATACACACAATACCTTGAGGGTAGTCTGGCATGCCATCGCTGACGGTGAAGGGGGCGCCATAGCGGGAGCAGCGAGAAACGGTGGCGACAGCACCGGCGCCACCGCTGTTGGATGTTGTCGACGTCATGGTAGAAGAGGTGGACGTGGTTGTCTGCATTGTGGTTGTGGTCCAGCTACCAGTCGGGAAGTTGGCAGTCGTGGAGGTCGTGGTCCCCCGTGTCGTGAACGTCGTTGTCGTCGTTGTCCATCCCTGGTCCTTGCGCCCATGATCCTGCGCGTGCTTCAGTCGGATGTCGCCCGCGGGCTGCGCGCTCGCGCCGTGCAACGCGGCCACGGCCACAACAACAACAACAACAACAGCAACAAGCGTGTTCATCTTGGGAGGTGTGTTGTGTTGTGTTGTTCAGTGTGTGTCGGTTGCGCAAGTCGACGCTGTTTTTTGTTTGTGTTTGTTTCGGGCCGCGTGTTTGTTCTTCAGCTTTGAGTTCAATTTGAGTGCCACCGTGCAAACGAAAGGAAGGCAGCAAGGAACATATGTACACATAACAGCAAGGCATGCATGCACGCTGCTGACCATCAGCAGCAACACCAAGCAAGCAAGCGGGTGTCTGCAACCACCATCTTTGCCACCATCATCACCATCACCACCATCATCACCATCACCACCATCACCACCATCACCACCATCACGGCCGTCACTGGGTGAACCCCCTGCGCACGAGCCGCGCCTTCTCCAGTGCAGCGTCCATCGCCTCCATCCGCAGCGTCTGCGAAGGGCCCGCCGGCCCAAGCACGTTGTACGCAAACCTGACGCAGCGGAGGCGGTGGTGGGGATGGTTGGTGACGTATGGTGTTGAGGATTGAAATGAGGTGCCCGTGCAGGAGAGTGAGTGACAAGTGCATGCGCACGTACAAACGTGTACACGTGTGCACACATGCGCACACACACAGACGTATACACACGTACACACGCATACACACGCACCCTTCTGATGCGTAGGCGGAGATGCGTGTGTCTGGCTGGGAGCGGCGTGGCGGGCTGTCCACCCACGACATGCGCGTGCCGGGTGTCATCCTGTTCCGCTTTGCAATGTCGCCACCTGCAGTTCAACATTGGCGACGGGCGCAGGGAGCATGCGACCCGTTCACCTCTCGCGTACTGACATGCATGTTCACACACGCAGGCAGGCGAGCACATACGTGTGCACAGCAATTGTTCCTCTCCATTGATGTCTGTCACACACACACACACACACACACACACACACACACACACACACACACACACACACACACACACACACACACACAAACACACACACACACACAGCCACAACGTACGCTGTTGCACTCTTGGTTCGCCCGTGAAGATGTTGAAGTCGCACTCGTCGTTGGCGTGCTGCCGGCCGCCCGTCTGCGGTGTTCGCGGACTTGCATCCACTGCACCTCCACCTCCACCTCCACTCGCCATCACAGACACATCACCACCACCAACACGATACGTGCCACCGCCACCACCACCACTGCTGCTGTTGTTGGTGATGGGGATGGCAGTGTCGGTGGTGTCGGTGGTGTTTGTGCTTCTGATGCCACGTGCTGTGGCTGATGTCGTCATGACAGGTCCTCTGCCGTGCTGCACACGCGATTGCCGCTCGCCCGCGTACCCGTGCTCCGATTGCGACGCCACAGCACGTGCATGTGTTGCTGATGGTAGTGATGATGGTGGTGGTGGTGGTTGCTGCTGCTGTGACGGCTGCTGCTGTTGCAGTTGCATGAGCTGCTGCTGCCGCCACAGCAGTTCCTGTGCGTATGTGTCCCCGCGCTGCGCCGCAAACGTCAACAGCTCCTCCTCCTCCCGTTCCAGACCAGCAAACCCGGCACCAGACACGTCGGCCGTGCCCCACGGCTGTTTTGGCAGCTGTGTTTGTGGTTGTGGTGGTTGTGGTGGTCGCTGAGTTTGTGGTAGTTGCTGTTGTGGACTGCGGGCCGGAATCTGCCACTGGCGCCGGCGCATACCAGCGACCTCCTCATAAATGCCTGCACGCACAACAACATGCGAGGGAAGCGGAGGTATAATGGGAGCGTGTTAGGGAATTGATGAAATCATGCCATAATGGCAAAAAGGACACACACACACATACACACACGCACGCACGCACGCACGCACGCATGCACACAGGCACATGCACGCACACGCACACACGCACGCACACACACACACACGCGCACGTACATACACACAAATACACACACATATGTGCACATACACACACGCACGCACGCACCCGAACAAGCACCTGATGCTGGCTGTTGCTGCTGCTGGGTGTACTGCTGCTTGGCCGGCGTTGTTGCTGTTGTGTCCTCGTGTGTCCTGCGCTCTGGCGGCGGGGAGCGCGCGAGTGCAAACACGCCACCAGTCGCTCGCTCCTTCTCAAACGGATGGATGTCATTGTGGGCCGTCGACGTGTTCGGCGACGCCGCCCCAGGCTGCTGCAGGTGCCTGTGTGTATTTGTGTGTGTGTGTGTGTGTGTGTGTGTGTGTGTGTGTGTGTGTGTGTGTGTGTGTGTGTGTGTGTGTGAGTGTGTGTGTGTGTGTGTGTGTGTGTGTGTGTGAATTCGTGAGTGTACAGTCGGGACAAGCCATTCATATTCCTCACTTTCTTCACCAAGACACGCATCCACACGCATCGGCACATTCTCACATGCGAGCACAAACAAAGCAATCCAGCCCAACGCACAGCAATACCGCCACAACTCACTGCTGGTTTGCAATCTGCCGCTTGAGGGCCTTGTTCTCGTTCTCGACGCGCCTGTACTCGGCGTTGAGGTCGAATATCTGCGTCTTCATGTGTTCGCTCATCTTCTGCAGCTGCTTCATCTCGTCGCTCTCTTCGCGCCGCCGGTCCGCCAGCTCAGCACGCGCATCCGCAAGCTGCAAACACGTCGTCGTCATCGTCGTCGTCGTGTGTGTGTGTGTGTGTGTGTGTGTGTGTGTGTGTGTGTGTGTGTGTGTGTGTGTGTGTGTGTGTGTGTGTGTGTGTGT